CTCCAGCAAACAAATACTTGACTATGACTAGACAGAATCTGCGTCTGGTCACAGGCATTCTGACTGGTCATTGCCAAGTATGGAAGCATCTTCATATCATGGGGCTGTCAGAATCCGCACTCTGCAGAGGGTGCGAACAAGAAGATGAGACCATCGAGCATATCCTTTACGATTGCCCGACGCTCTCATTTATTAGAAGATTTGTGTTCGGCGAGTATCGGCTAACAACGGCCGATATAAGAGAAGCACCTCTTGGCGACGTTGTCAACTACATTAAATCTGTAGGCTGGTTGACGAGCTAGGAGGTGCCTATCATCTTAGGAGGATGCACAATGGGCCTAATGAGGCCTAAGTGCCGTGGGGGTAACCCACCCTCCACACGTTACAGATACAGAACTATATCAGACTGTTAGTAATTTGACGTCACTCAGACAGATGACATTCTCAAGCTCTGTCAAATTTTATCTTGCCCATAATTGTTGTTCCAACCAAGTGTAGAAGATTTTAGCCCTCGAAATAAAATCTAGAGCGTCATTGGGGTCTATTCTGTAACAATTCCTTTATATTTAACGGCCTTTAAAAATATTTTCTTCTTTACTTCTGTCATTATTTAAACGGATCTTTAAAATACATTAGAGGACTATCTTAAAGAAATCTGTTTAAATAATGACAGAAGTAAATAACCGAATACGAAAATGTTTTTAAAGGCCGCCAATATTTTTAGGGGCCGTTAAATATAAAGGAATTGTTACAGAATAGACCCCATTATCATGCAAATCTTTCCTGAATCCTAAATCTACGAGTTTGACTGTCGCAGCCATGTGCTTCGATCCCTGGTCGATGTAATCGTTCTTTCCTTTTTTTAAGTCTCAGCTTTGTCAATCGTTCTTTAAATTGTTTTCACTTTTAGGAGAATGGGGGTCTAGTTTTTCATAATTTCGAAGCAGGAATTGGTGATTATATATTTTTATATTTCCAGAAGTACATTTCAGTTTTTCGAATATATCAATTCACTTTTCTTAAAAAAAAATTAAACATGCAACGCAACGAATCGAGTGTGTTAACTAACTACCACAGCAGCAGCAGCAGCAGCAGCAGCATGATATGTCATGCAATGGCGAGGGTGAAGCACGCTGATTGACCGAAATCGTGCTAAAAACTATCGTTCATGCTGCATGTGCTCTCTGAGGAACGTTCGCGCACGATAGATCGTTTGTGCACGAAAGAACGGTTTATCGTGCGCGAACATTCGCGTACGTTCCCCACATCACTTTAATCACAGAGATGATGCAAGATAATATCATAGGAGATTTCCTAATCGTCGAGTTTCCAGTCATTAAATATTTGGATCAGTTTTTTAACCAATTTTTTCCGAATACTTTTTATATATGATTGGCAAGCCCACCCCTGGATAATTTTCGGAGTTTGCTATTAAGAGATGAAGGGTCGTTGTACGTCCTTCTACTTGTAACATGTATCGGTTTAGGTTTATATAAAAGGGGGTAACATCTGTTGTGGTTTGCCAAACAAACTGCTGTGGTAATTGCGCTCGTTGTTAATAATTATTTCGCCTTAGGTTAGGTTGTGAGATTACATTTAAGATTTCATTCATGATGGTTGTAAAATATTTGGTGTTTGAAGAGGGAAAAAACAATGAAACCATGTAGAATATTTTTAGTTCGGCATAGGTTTTAATAAAAGGGGGAGGCGAGTTTAATTTTAAATAATCATTGACATGATTTTTGTAGTTTTTTACTGTTTTCGTTGGTTGTAAATGGTTTCCTACAGTGTGAACCTATATATAGAATGGGAAATATAAATACTATTTGCTCCATTGAGTTAACCCAAAAAGTTCGAATATCTTAGTTTTTGATACTATAGTTTTTAGTATGCAGTCAATAGGACGTCGGTAAGACGTCATAACGAGTTTTATAAATGGAAGTATCAAGTGATATTAAGAGCATTCTAGAATCTTAAAGATAAATATATATTAAAAATATTCGGTCCATTTGATACACCACTAAATCATCTACAAATCAGAAAATAAGTAGATTTATGTTTGTACTAGGCAAAATTTAAATAAAAATTTAGACACATTCTATTAAATCAATGAACATACATTTTAAACATCCCAATCCATCATTTAATACACGACAAATACCGAATAAACTTGAAATTCCCAAATTGTCGACAAAAGTGAAATGTCATCAGAAGACTTCTGATCCTAATCAGTTTTAATTGAATTAGACGTGACACTGATTCGTCTACAAACCATATTAAATACATCTAACTTCTGTGATGTACCTACCAATTAGACTAATTCAATAAATCTAATAAGCCTTATCGTTTCACAGGGAAGAGGGTAATTTTGGATTGAATAACGTCAGTGGCGTGGATTTTAAGATCGAATATTTTTAATTTAAGTAGTTGGTGTATGAATGATATGTACTTAGATACTTTGTAATGACTAAATATTTCTAAATTCTGTAACGGTAGGAACCGTTATTCGTTATTTCAACACAATTATCTCTACTCAAATGTCATTTGTCGTTTATGCCTTGTGTCAAAAGTTCGTATTTCATTTGATTTGAATTTGTCAACGAATCAAGGAGATTTTAATTTTTAATATATCTTGGTCATCTGATGTACTAAATAATTTTTATCTATCGTAAATTCCGTCTGATTTTATAAGGTAAGTTTTAATACTGATATATTGTCGAAAATATATATTTTGTACAAGAATTTCTTAAATAAAATATCAAATTTTGAACATAACCTCAACAATGGATAACACGTTTTATATAATTTTATATATTATTTTGTTCGGAATAAGATATTATGCATTACTATATTTAAATATGTTAAATAAGATTTTTCCTTTTCATATTATTTTTAGTCTCTGTGAAATTATTCATTTAATAGTTTTAAATTGTTCATTTAATTGTTAAAGCATTTTATCTAAATCCTGTTCCAATTTCCTGTTTCCTGTCTTAACATTTTAACCTTTTCTTTTTAGCATGGCTATATCTAGACGGTTTATTTGGATCTATATCTAGGCAGTTTATGTGGATTTATATCTAGAAATTTTGAATTCTTTTAAGAGAGTTTATGTGGATTTATATCTAGAAGTTTTATAGTTTTTATACCTAGAAGTTTGGTAAAATCTGAAAACCGTGGTTTGGTTCATCTTTAGAAGATCTACACGTTTCGAGTTAAGTTAAAATACCAAATACCAAGAGATCGTTCAAGTCGCAGAATTACGAATAAGGATCCTGAATCCCTTTGAAGAAGGCCTAATCTAGTAGGCACGTGTAAAATTTTCAATAGTTCGTGTATTTGACAAGATATTGGTAGATAGATCATATTTGAAAATAATTTAAGGACTTTTTTAGGAAAAATTTTGATTTAAAACTTTTAACACCCTGCGATGGCGGCTCGTACCTAGTGTACAAGGAGGCTGGCACACCCTATATACTTATTACAAATATATATTTCTATTAGAATACAATGTAATATTTCTGCTTTTAGTATTCTAATAGAAATACCTATACATTTGTACTAGGTAGATATGATGTGCCTTTCTAAAGTAGCCTCCTCGTAGTCTAGGTCTCGAGCCGCCTCTGACACCTTGTACCTCAGTATCTAAGCCCTTTAAGGGTTCATGTTTCTATATTGAAATTCGAGAGACGATAAAATGGTAATTCCTACCTTATCGAGTCTGAGGCCTACAAGGGTAAACTCGTAGCGTAACAAAAACGAGAAATGATTTAACTTGGAACGAAAGACCGAAATAAATCAAAACCGCAAGTCGATCAGAGCTTTCTTTCTAGAGTTATTGTGTCGCTTCACATACATACTTACGCATGCACAGACGTGAACTTAGAGTGGTCGGAAACGTGCTTTAAGTAAACATTGCATTAATTTTCATGTTTTAATTTTATTGATTTCTAAAATTTTCTTAACGAATTTAATTCGTTCTTGAATTCATGCATTAATAATCACGTACCTACACGTTTTATTCCTATAATAATTTAAGCACTATGAACTACAATAGGTAGACTACTAGTGATTTTTTTTTAATATTTAACTATTTTCACATGTTTGTACCACACAAATGTGTATAAATATAAAGATAAACAAACCTACTGTTTCTTTGCTGTAATACATCAAACATTGATGACACGTCGCTAAATCGCAGTCGATAAAACATTGCCATTAATTAGCTTTTTATGTATCTTATTAATTGCAATAAAAACTATTGGTACGCCACTGCATAACATTGGTGTAAGTGCAATGATTATTGTTGTATCAGGTTACAGGTTGTACGCATGAAAAAGACCCCCGATCGCATTTTCTCATGTCAATCCTACGTCTCTGGGATATCCCTGACGTGCGTCGCCTGATGTCGTGGGGTTAGATTGAAATTTATAGATTTGGGGGATAGATTTGACTCTCGAATTTATCGGATGAATGAATGAGGATTAACACCTTTACAAAATGCAGTGTCATTTTTTTAATAATAGGGTTGTTTGTCTAAATACTTTCAGACAAGGAACATTTTTTTTCAACTGTCAAAATATTTAGATTTCATTATTTTAGTCGACAAAAACTCGCGATATATCACTGCATTAGTTTTTTACGAATTTCAATTAATGAGAGCATTTAATATATCACTCATAATAATGATAATAATAAAATATTGTATAAAAAAATATTATATAATATATAAAATGTCTATGCAGTTACTTAAATAATAACTGATAGTCATACACCATGAATTGGTCAGTTCACTCTAATAAAATAATTGATTACATCACTGTCAATTTATACTTTTAAATTTAAATAAAAATATTCACGTTTTTACATTTTATTGTTTCTTTATATAATCTAATGAATATAACTCTTGTATTTCGGATTATAGATAATCTCATGATAGGTGAATGCGTTCAATGTCTTTACATAATGCCAATACTGTCAATTTAAGTAAAAATAGCACTTACTTGCACCCTAGCTTCGGTTAAATTTATTTTCATTGCTAAATCTTCTCTTGTGAAGACATCAGGATAATGAGTTTGCGCAAAGGCGCTTTCTAATTCTTCTAATTGTTGTAAAGTAAATGTAGTTCTATTTCTTCTCTGTTTTCTTCTAACAAATGTGTCATCGTGTATTGCTGGGTGGTAAGAGTAACTAGTATCTGAAAAGAAAAGACCAAACATTTATATTTATTCACAAAGTGTCATGCAGATTTAGATAATTAAAGCAAAAGTAACGGCAAATTTGTAATTCTAAGGGTACGCAGCTGCTTTACAACGTGAGTTATGTACAACACTTTTTCATAATTATATGAACCACAAATACCAAAATTATTTCTATTGCCATAAATATTTACTGCTCTTATTTTACCATAATATTAAAAAATATGCAAAATACATAATAGAGGAACGATTAGAAAAAAAGATAAAGGTAGGTAGGTAGTAATAACAAGAACTATTTGTAATATTTATTTGGGTAGAAGAAAAAGTTAAGTATAATACATTAAATATATTATAATAGGAATATAAAAATAATTTTTTAACTAGGAATATTAATTAACTTTAAATAGAAATTTACTATTAAATATTTTGCCAAATTAAGGATTAAAAATGTTTGTCTTGTCTGTAAAAATAGGTTTAGATATAGCAAAGATCCTTTTAACATCTACTGATGTAATGTAATTTGGGAAATAATTAACCAGGGTAACTTCTTTTGAAAATTTACCCCCAAAAATTTTTTCCTCCGTTGTTCTCTTTGAAACCTTCATTCTTTCTTAAAGTTTTATTTAATTTTTGTCTAATTTTAAGACATATGGCACCAGAACGTTTTGCATTTATCGGAAAATGTATAAATCAAATCTGTTGCATCGTTTAAACTTAAACTTTTCTTTTCTAATGAAGTTTTACCTATTACATCAGGAGAAAACTAAAATTTACTTTTATAAAAACAAGTTGCTTAGGCACTAGTGGATTTTTATTACATCTTGACTTTTCACAACACATTGTGAATTGTCTTGTATAATAATATGTTCTGCGTAGAATAGAGCAACCCTACGCACTCCTGCCATTACTTCCTTGTAAAACTGCACCACCCTTAAAGGGGCTTTTAAAAGTATTTTTTTTAATATTTGAAATTAGCTTATTTACTAAGAGATACTCTGTCTGACAGTTTATGTGACTAACTTTATTCCATGCAGAAAGCAAGTAACATGGATGATATTCGAATAAAATATTGTTAAGTTGTGCTCCACTTTTAACGGTGCTGCGTCAGACAAAAACACTAAGAACTTCTCTGGTGGAATTGGATTTGGTAAAAAGAATTCTGATAGAGATTGTTGAATAAATCGGGTTACTGTCACATTGCTAGTTTTTTTTTCCAACTGTTTTGAAGCGATTAAATATGATTTTAAGGCTCCAATTGAATCGGTGAGTGAAAGAACAATACAAGTGCCAAAAACGGTAATTTTAACTGAGATAGGCAAATTGTTTAAAATTCATAGGCCTATCACATAGCGAAAAAATAATACAACGACCAACATCATATGAGCGATGGGGGCTTGTTTAATTTTCGGCTAAGTGAAAAAACAGTACAAGTACGGCGCATGTATCGTTTTTTTACTCAGTAACCATGTCGTTTCGTAGACAAATTTGGCACAGGTTTCAAAAACTGGTGGTCGCAATTTCATAAAAAAAGACCTCTAAATCAGCTGATGAACAAAAATCTAATTTTGTCATTCCGCAGTACAGCCAGTTTACATACACTGGTAAAACTCCTGGATATGTTACTACAAGTGCCTTCATAGGCAGTTTTTTCTCGCACACTTTTATGTGTGGGGCGCATTAGACTGATCAAACCTAACGCCAATCTGCAGTTACCCTTATGGCGGGCATACACGCTACGGTCTCTCTGTGGAGGTGTGCCTGCACAGGTAGACATACACGCTACTACATGAAGCCGATCTGCGCAGGCACACCTGCACAGGTAGACCGTTACGTGTATGCTCGCCATTAGAAGAGGCTTACTCAGAAATTGTCCCTATTAACGTAAAGAAGATAGCCAATATAAAAATACTTTTATTCTTTAGTGATGAAATCCTAGAGTTTTACTACCATATATTATTTCTTGGAAAGTCAAAAATGAAGATTCTGAATAAGAAATTACAAATAAGTTTGTTAAATAATAATCAATAAAGCTACAAAAAACATTTTAAAGCATTTTTTTAAATTGAGTGAAAGAACAGTATGACTGCAAGTAATTTTTTTTAAATATAACTTTCTGCACAATTTTATTGTTAAATTTATGTACGTATTATTATCGGTTAACAAAAATTCTATAACCTCACAATACATAATTTGGCCGAATAACCCATAGTTCTCCTTTAAAACAGTTTTTTTGTTTTTCTCAAAATTGTCTTTTGGATATGCATTGTTCTTTTACTCACCGATTCAATTATAAGATGTACGATATATCGACCACAAGTATCTGTGTGTTCATCAACAATGATATAAGAATTTTCATCTTGAAGTAAATCTTTCATCTCTTCTATAACATTTGTATATAATGTATATATTGTGATGTTTGTTTATTTTAAAACAACAGTTTACTTATTAATAATTTATTTAAACACTTATTTATTTTATAACACTACTATTCTAATTTATATTTCGAATGTCTTTGAATCGTTCACTATTTATATTCACCACTGTCTATCTACTAATGAGTTCCGCTTGATCCTCCACCAATATTTATATACAAATTTAAAAGTATGGCGAAGGTCCTAGAATGTTCACCAATTATCCCGTTCTTTCTCGAATAGTTATCGAAAGCTCCTCCGCCATAGTTGTCACATATGTTTGGTCTTAAAGGGTTTAATTATGTATGATAATCGGACAAGTTGAGCATCAAAGGCCAAATAAGACAGAGAGGGACTTGGAGGATTAGAGCATGACTGAATAATGAAATGGCTTACATTACAATATTTTTTTCTTATAGTCGCAATACTTAGATGTAAGTTTTGCAACTTTTTAAGGAAATATTTGCCGCAACAAGAATTTTGCACAAGTCATAAACAACTATTTTGGCAGAAACTTTGCAAAACATTTTAGAAAAAATTCTAGACATTTTAAAGACACTTTAAACAATAAGTAATTACAAGATATAAGCACCGGCAGAATATCTACGATACTCTCGCGCAAAATTCTATTCTTTAACTAAATAATTTTGAAGAAATTACTAGGAATTCTAAAACCGTTTTATTGGATATAGGTACTTTATTTATGGAAATAACAATACCCTTGACTAGGTAAATACCCAATCTAAATATTTCATGATCGTTAGGTAGATTATTTTGAAGAAATTACTGAGATTTTTGAATCAAACAAACTTTGAGTGTACCTGCATGGAACGTCGCTTTACTGTCTGAGTATATGACTACGCACGCACGCACGCATGCACGCACCCACGCACGCATGCACGCACCCACGCACGCAATGGTTTTTCCTTAATACCTCTTTTGCGCAGTGATGTTTTGCTGCTATTTCTGCCTGGAATACTGTCGCATGTTTACATAAGCTTAGTGAGATTCTTGTGTTTGGCTTGGTACTATATATACCTACTCCTGAACCTTCATGGGTTTTAGACGCGTGTGTATACCAGGTGAAATCTGCATGAATAGGAGGTCCTCCCGTCAACGCTTCCCTGTCTGGTATACTTACTTTATATTACTTTTGAAAGCTATACTTTGGGAGCATTTCGTCTAAAGTCATTCCTATTATTTGGTCGTTCTCCAACTCTTTATATAGCTCGCTGTAGTCGTGTCCATGCAAACTTCTTATGGGTGATGAACATTTGTGCAGTCTGTATGCGACAGACGGCTTCGCCTTGAATGAATATATGTAGTGATGTTAGGTTTAGCATAACTTCTATAGTTGCTGTTAGAGTCGTTCTCATAGCTCCCATGGTACTCAGGCATGCTTGCCTTTGACTACCATTGAGCTGTCGAATAGCTCAAGCTTGCGGAGTCTTCGGCCATACCACCGACCCGTAGGTTATCATCGGCCTTATGACTCTGGTATATGACCATAGGGAGATTTTCTGTTGTAGTCCCCAATTTTTTCCATACAACCTTCGACATAAGTTGAAGGATGTTGTGCTCTTTTGGGCGACTTTTTGCAAGTGTTGATTCCATGTTAACTTGTGGTCAAAGATGACTCCCAAGTATTTGGCCTCTTGAGCAAATGGAATCTTCACTCCTTTCAGTACTGGTGACTTCAGTCCTGTTGGTACTCTTCGTTTTGTAAAGTTGACCATTATGGGTTTGTGAGGGTTTACTGTTAGTTCCTCCTCTCTGCACCACTCGTCAACAATGTTTACAGCGGTTTGTGTGTGCTTCGATATTGTACCTGCGAACTTGCCTCTTACGACGATAGCCAGATCATCGGCATGCCCCAGGCAGTAGAAAGCTGCAGATATTAGCCTTTTTATGAGTTCGTCCACTAGGACTGCCCAGAGGAGGGGTGATAGTACTCCTCCTTGGGGGCAGCCCTTGCTTTAGCTGTCAGTGTAACTTCGCCTAGAGATGATGTTATTACCCTTTCATCTAGGCTGGCTTTTATTCACTGACATAGGACTACTGGTACCCCTTTAATTGTTAGTGCGTTAATTATAAATCTTGTTTGGACATTACTAAAAGCTCCCTCAATATCTACGAAAGTTGCAACTGCCATTTCTTTATCCTCCATGGATTTTGACAATAGTCAACCTTCCACAAGCCACCATTTTAATTCAGATTTTGTCAGAATCAATAGGCTTCATCTTCTTATAGAGCTTGATTTTTATTAAAAATTTCATGTTGATATCCCTTTTTGATTTACGATTTTTGTTAATTTCAACCTCCTTAACCTTTCATTTTTAATCAGATTTTTTTTTAAATCAATAGAGTTTATCCCCTTATAGAGCATATTTTTTTGCTAAAAATTTTAAGGTAATATAATTTTTTTGTTTATGTATTTATTGCCCTTACCTAATTAATAGTATTTTTTTTTCCTTTAAAAATCTACCAAAATTCTCCTTTTAAATTATTTTTACATTTATTGTTTGTGACAGTCCAGATAATAAACAACAGGTTCAACCCAAAAGACTCTTTTAAATGACTTAATCCAC